TTCTCTTTCTCTCCAACTCTCTCTCTTTCTCTTCTCAACTCTCTCTTTCTACATTTCTTTCTCTCTCTCCCCAACTCTCTCTTTCTACATTTCTTTCTCTCTCTCCAACTCTCTCTTTCTCTATTTCTCTCCAACTCTCTCTCTTTCTCTTCTCAACTCTCTCTTTCTACATTTCTTTCTCTCTCTCCCCAACTCTCTCTTTCTACATTTCTTTCTCTCTCTCCAACTCTCTCTTTCTCTATTTCTTTCTCTCTCTCCAACTCTCTCTTTCTCTATTTCTCTCCAACTCCCTCCCCAACTCTCTCTTTCTACATTTCTTTCTCTCTCTCCAACTCTCTCTTTCTCTATTTCTCTCCAACTCTCTCTTTCTACATTTCTTTCTCTCTCTCCAACTCTCTCTTTCTCTATTTCTCTCCAACTCTCTCTCTTTCTCTTCTCAACTCTCTCTTTCTACATTTCTTTCTCTCTCTCGCTAACTCTCTCTTTCTCTATTTCTCTCCAACTCTCTAACCAACTCTCTCTTTCTACATTTCTTTCTCTCTCTCCAACTCTCTCTTTCTCTATTTCTCTCCAACTCTCTCTCTTTCTGTTCTCAACTCTCTCTTTCTACATTTCTTTCTCTCTCTCCCCAACTCTCTCTTTCTCTATTTCTCTCCAACTCTCTCCCCAACTCTCTCTTCCTACATTTCTTTCTCTCTCTCCAACTCTCTATTTCTCTCCAACTCTCTCTCTCTCCCCAACTCTCTCTTTCTACATTTCTTTCTCTCTCTCGCCAACTCTCTCTTTCTCTATTTCTCTCCAACTCTCTCCCCAACTCTCTCTTTCTACATTTCTTTCTCTCTCTCCAACTCTCTCTTTCTCTATTTCTCTCCAACTCTCTCTCTCTCTCTTTTCCCAACTCTCTCTTTCTCCGTTTCTCTCTTTCTCTGTCTGTCTCTTTATTTCACACTAAGTAGAAAACTTAAGGGCAAACAACGAACATTCTACTGTTCCTAGACATCAAATCTTGAGCATGCGTGTTTTCGGCCTCAAGATGGCGGAGGGATCAATTTTTTTAAGGACCATCTTCAGAAGACGGTCTTCAAAACAGTTGACGGTTCCATATTACACAACTTCCCATATCTATATAAAACTGTAAATATTTATAATGACCACATCTTAACAGTGATACAGAATACAATTAAATATTAAAGGCTAATGATATGGTTATTGCCTAACAGAAATGCCATATATGTAAATTCATACATACAAACAACAAGTCTATTAAAATCACAGTAGGTAACGATTATTGATGAAGTCGTTCATATCTCGATTGAAACCATTATTATTAACAAAATTTTTTCAGCATAATAATAATTAAAAGTAAATAAAATAAATATATAAAATATTTTAAATTGTTTAAAAATCACTCAAATGTCTGACAGTTTTACTAAAATACATTTGTATGTGCAACAAGCGTCTACAAAATAATTTAATTCATATATTGACAAAGGAATATTTTTCGTTTTTTTTTGGTTTTTTTTGCCGCATTGAATTTCCGACGTAAGCCGTGATTTCGACCCTCGTGGAACTCTTAAGTCCTTTAGCCTTGGAAGATATAAGACATACAGACGATCAGAGCCATTTTACTGAAATTTACAAAACGGTAGGTATTAAAAATTTAAAAAAATAATAACCGTTAATTCTTTTTACAAGAAGACTCAATGATAAGTTCACAAATTCATCAAGAACCTAAATCTTTACTAAATTTACTAAATTTCAGTTAAATATTTATCGGGCTTTCTTTTTTTTTATACTATTTTGATGCATCATAAATTATTCGTGATAAAAACTGAAACAATTTTAAACACAAATATCTACTTTCATATATCAAACAAAAATTTTTATCTCACAATATGGCGTGCAAAAGATTGAGGACAACTACATAAAATACTTTATATCTTTACTTTATGAGCATCACAAGATTGTTTAGATAGATGATTTAGGATTTGGAAAAAAAATTTTCTTACGTGCTTCTTAACAGAAGATACACCCGTTTAAACAGTTTAAAGCTGACAAAAAGGCAATGAAAAACAATTGGTCCAATGAAAAATCTGAGATGATGAAGACATGATAATATACACATTTCTAAATAGGAATTATGTCATCTTATTAACATGAGATAGCCAAGCAGATGGCAATTTCTACGGCTGGGAATTTCTAGGAGCAATGTACCAAACATCCAAAGGATGGTTGCTATTACTGAAAGTGTTTGCTATTACTGAAAGTGTTTTAAATGCAAATAAAAGTACAAAAAAGAGGATAGATGAAAGAAAGATTTTGAGTGTTTCGACAGGTAATCCCAAATTAACAGCCATACCTGTGAGGAGTAAATTCTGTCTTAACAGCGAAATATCAGTTGATGCAGTATGCAGAATATTACAAAATAAAACAATTTCAACAGGCGTGCTGCAGTAAAAACGTCATTATCCCCAACACATCGAAATAGAAGATTTAAGTACTCAAAAGAACGTGTAATCTTGGATGCTTGAAAGTCACTTTTTCTGATGTATACAAAACAGAATGACGTTCCAATGCATGGGAAAATCTGTAAGAAGACTAGTGACAAAAAGAAACGATGCAAAATACACCACAAAGGCGGTAAGATTTGGTGATGAACTCGGGATCACGTGAATTATTGCATTAAAAGCGATGGCAGAAGTACTAGATTTCAAAGATGGAGGATTCTTTTGAAGCATGACGCTGCTCCTTCCTAGACATCACGGACAACAAGACGTTTCTTGTGGATGAAGATGTTCAACTTGTGTCTAGCATATTGTCCATATCTGCAAATAGTTGAACCATTGTGGTGGGAAACTGAAGAAACAAGTGAGCCAACGAAAACCACGTAGTTTCCAAGAGCTTTGGAATCACTGCCTAAAATAATGGTAAAAATTCGCTATGAGAAAATATGGACTTCGTTCCAAGCAATGTCACAATTGAGCCAATTATTTCATCGAACGGCAGCAGCATTCATTAATAATACCGTAGTGTTGTACTTTAATAATAAAGATCACTTATTGCAAAAATGAAAAAATACCCTTATAATTTAGGAAACGAGCACAGTATTATACAGAGCCTTTTTTTAACATAATTAAGTTTAAGGTAATTTATCATCCACTATACTACATTAACGAAAATGGAACAACTTGTTTGTTGACCCTCAAAGATCATGACATATCCTGAGAAAAGCATACTATAAATCACTCTTGATCTGAGGGTAAAATTAACAAAAGTTATTAACTTAGCAATGTTACCATAAAGTTTGGCACCCCAGTGTATTCTTTCTAATATCATAGAATTGTTTTAATAGCTGAGAATTCATAAAAGTTTAAATATTTTTTATGACAAACGAAATATGTTTTCAAACGCAAATTTCTAATTCTGTATATCGAATAAAAATTATAAATAGAATATCGAATATTATAATATAGTGTTATTCTTTCTTTTTCTAATAACATAAGATTCGTGGAAATTTTATTAACTTTTATATGCAACTTAAAATGGATTTATGTAACTGATACCAGTCTTGCAAAAGTTTTTTTTTTTTTAAATGCCGGTACTTAAAGTAGAAAGGTGGATTATGCTCAGTAGAGCATCACTAATTTTTAAGTGAAATAATAAATTTAAAAAACTGAGGAAAATGCAGATTATATATGATATCAACTCAAAAGAGGCAAAAACTAATTAAAATCGAGTTTAAAAAAAGCAACTTTAAGAACAATCATTTATCTATTTCATAATTTGCTCAGTTCTCCGGAATCCTAATAATTCTAACTTTTTATAAGCGTGTGCATCCGTTAAGAGATCTATTCTCAATTTAACATCTCTCCATATTCCCTTCGGTTGCAAACGTCGCTACGACTGCGAAATTGTTAGCTTAGCCGTATCGGAGGAAAGTAATGTTCAATTCTGTCTGCTAAGCTCTTTATTCCTATCCCTAAGGCAATATGAAATACATTTTCTGCTTTAATAGCCAGAAGGACCTGTCATTTAAATTTGCTCATCCTTAACAGATATGAGAACTGCAGGTGTCTTAACATTTTCCTCCAGGTCTGAGAACTCTTTAGGAATTGGAACGATAGAACGAAAATTGGTGCGATATTCAAAAACGGAAAGAAAATACCACGCCGATCTTTTACAAAAGACGAGACACTTATAATGGCATCAGGAGAGTCAGCAGAAAATGGTCGTCATCAACTTGACATCTCAACCACACACACACACGCGCACACACAAACACACACACGCATATATACATATATATATATATATATATATATATATATATATATATATATATATATATATATACATCCAACTCATATAATAAAATGTGACAGAATAAGAGCTATTCCTATGAATCCATTCTCATGAATCAACTCTCCAGTTGAATCTAACAGCGATAAAAAATGTAATGCGAGAAAATGACTATCATCACTATATATATATATATATATATATATATATATATATATATATGTGTGTGTGTGTGTCTGTGTCTGTGTGTGTATATGTGTGTGTGCTCGTGTGTGTGCCTGTGCGTGTGTATGTAATTGTTACGAAAAGATACCGAAATATAAACTAAAGTTGACTTCATGGAATTCGTGCAAGTATATCAAGTTCAAATGCAGAAAGAATGAAACGCATTTCTCCATCGCCATATAATTTTATGACATTGTCACGCTTTTCAGCATTATGACCGTTTTATTTCTTCTCGAAGAAGATAAAGAATATCAGTAGCAGACAAAACGAATATCTTTCCGTTTTACGTGATTAAGAGGAAAGGCGGCTCTTTCGAAACGCATCGTTATTCTCATCATCCAATCAACTTCTTTTCCCCGAACTCTTATCAAAAGACATGCCCAGTGCAGTTGCTCCAAGAAAGAATGGCAACACCTTTCAATTTTGATAAAATAAAAGAAACTCTGCTAATAAATTCGAAACCAAGAAATCCACAGAGATGAATTTCAAGTATAATTCATTCAGAGGATCTTCACTTGCAAATTGTTGGACATCTAAAACCAATGTATTTCAAGAGAAAATCCGTCGGAAGTCTACCGACCTAAGTTGCAAAGCCACGGAAAATGAAAGAGAAAGTAAATTCTACATTATTTACATTATTCGGACTATTGTCCTCATCTTTGTCGCCATATTTATCACAACGTTTCGGCCGTTGTACGCTCCGGCCTTCTTCAGGTGGTTGGAATTTCGAACTGAACCCTTTATTTCGCTCACTGGGGTAGACTGTTCTAGTTCCACGTGCCATGTTTGATGGATGTCAGTTATTAGTTATCTCCTGTTAATTTCCCTCTGAAAGTTCCTCAAGGACACATGGCACAGTGGATAAAGGCGTTGGTTAGATCCAGTGACAGGACCCAAAGAGTGTGAGTTCAGTACCCGGTTAAGGCCCGTGGAGAACTTTCAGAGGGAAATTAGCAGGAGATAACTGATAACTGACATCCATCAAACATGGCATGTGGAACTAGAACAGTCTACCCCAGTGAGCGAAATAAAGGGTTCAGTTCGAAATTCCAACCACCCGAAGAAGGCCGGAGCGTACAACGGCCGAAATGTTGTGATAAATATGGTGGCAAAGATGAGGACAATAGTCCGAATAATCTAAATAATGTACATAATACCTCATCTCAGAAATAAAGACAGACTCTAAAGTAAATTCTAGAGCTATAATATTATTTTATGTGATAAAAAAAATCAACACTATTACTTTCACTATTACTCTCACTGAAAAATAATGGTCAAAATGGAAATCGACGATAGAAAAATTCTTTTGACTTAAAAATCCTTACAAAGATTGCAATTACTTATGAAGACAGGGCTATCTTTTTACTGATGCTCGACATGTCAAACGCATTTGACATTGTCAATCGTTCAAAATTCATGGAAATATGAGAAAGCACGCTAACAAAAAGTTAATTTCCCGTTATGTGTCTTCTTATAAATGATGCTATTCTTAATAGGAAGCAAAACAGGTTGAGACATGTTAACATGAATTTAGAATTAAATTCGTTGAAAGTAACTCTGAAATATACACACTTAGCAAAAGCCATTAAAAAAAAAACAATAATTCTTTCTAACGAAGATTACGGGGAAAAAGTTATCCATATCAAATAAAGTTTTAACATGGATTTGATTGATTGATTCAGTTTTTACGACTTATCAACCCTTTGCAGGTTATTTAAAGCCTGGAAGCCAGAAAATATTTTTAGATTATAAGAATTTTTTAGAGATAATAATGACAGTGATAAAAGTCTTACTGATTAATCCATAGCTGGGGGTGAAGTGATGGATTAGTACCTTTCCCAAAATTATTTGCCTGTAAGCGAAGCTAAAGAAGTCAAATGAAACAGGAACCCGGCTCTCTGATTAAAAACCCCGAGCTATTATCCACTACACCATCCGCATATCCAAGCTTACAGCACCTGGTATTCGGAAATGGTCACCCATTTACGTACTAGCCAGGCTCGACATTACTTAACTTCGGCGATCGTAGAAGGACCGGGGTTTCAACGGGATATGACCGTAAGTCTACTACCATAGAACGTTAAGATTTAATAAATAAGATAAACGTATTTGCCTTGGTTTAGCAAACTTCTTCGATTACCACAATAACCTCCAGCTAGAAAATCTCTCAAAATGTATATGGCAGTAGTAAAGAAACCTATTAGAACTCTTATGGTTGGCTTCCGTAATAAATGACATAAAAAATCTCGGATATTCCTTTAGTACAAGACACTCTGATTTATATAGTGACATTTAATTTCATACGTCCCTTACGTACGTAATGGAAAACATGAAAGTACGGAATGAAGCATTTGACAGCATGAAGTTAACATAATTAACAAATATGCAATGAAATTATAAAAAAAAATCGTCTTGCATCATCCTTCATGTAATCGCTGTCAATAATATTCTGATTCGTATAGTATTATGAACTGCATTTGATTTGCATTTGGTTAAGCCGGAAAGAAAAAGCAACTGCGTTCATTCAAAATCAGTCATCCCTCTTGTTATGGTCCGGTTCCTTGTACCACGGTGATAGTCCAAGGTAGAACCAAATAAGAACTCGAAGACGGATATGGAATAACACAGATATATTACAAACAGGAATATACACAGAGAGGTAGAAAGTGTTAGTACGAACATTCAGGTTTAGTAGAGAGAACAATGTAGTCTCGACCAGTATCACTATTCCAATGTCTTGTAGTAATTGTCTGAACGCGACTCTGTTCGGACTGCCTCTGACTCGACTCTTGACTCGACTTGAACTACTGACTATATTCAGTCACCCCCACACTGGGGCAGCATGTGGCATAATGCCGGTTATTTAATGTGGGATCACCGAGCCCGTAGGCTCGGCTCAAAAATAGGACCATTGAACCCGTATAAACCGGTTCAGGGGTGGTTCACCTCCCGAACGAGACTCCTCCCTTCGGCGTAGCCTCGTCCGGGTTTCGCCTCGCCCGAAGGCAGAGTGTTCAACCGAACAGTCGGTCGAGAAAGCGAGCGACTGACGATAATTAGTCACCGCCCCAGGCAGTCACATGTGGCAAAAAGCCGAGTTTAATGTGGGGTTCCCGAGCCCGTAGGCTAGGCCAAAAATATACCCATTGAACCCGTATAAACGGGTTCAGGGCCGGTTTACCTCCCCGAACGAGACTCCGCACTTCGGCGTAGCCTCGTTCGGGTTCCTCCCCGCCCGAAGGCAGAGAGTTCAAACGAACTGTCGGTTCAGAAATGAACTGCTGACTGACTCCTCGCCTACTCCGGAGGCGCAGTATTTATTATGGAATAGTCCATTATTATTATTATGGGTAAGATCCCATAAGACCTCTGAATATTATTAATACTAAAGCTTGAATATCATTCAAGGTAGAGCCTTACTAAATAGAGACATCGACAGGAAAGGACCAATATTTGCCTGTTATGAAGATATGTAGGAGAGATAACGATTGATCCTCGGCTTGAAAAGGTTAAAATTATAGTGATCGAGGCAGCAGCATCCCATCAAGCGTTCATTTCAACGGTGAATAAACACTTGTGACTATTTTTTTTTATTTCTACCGTGAAACATAGCAATTATTTGCCAATTTTGACACAGGAGCTCGGGCAAAAATGGTTAAAATTGTTCAGATACGCACAATTCAAAGAGTTAAAGGCAGGAACTACAGAATAGGATTATCGAACAAGGTGCAAAGCAAGAATTAGCAAGACATTTTTGTAGTGCTTAGATAAAAGAGGAGCCAGATCATGAGCACATTTAAGAGAATTGCAGGAAGATCATGAAATCTGAATGGAAACATTAATCCTTAATCGTCCTTACAGACTGTTATCTCATTTAATTTTCTCTGTTTCTGCGAAATCCATAAAAATATTTAACTAGCTTTCCTATCTGATTTGGTTTTATATCTAAATCAGGTTACAGATAAGCAAACACTCAGAGGCTTATTCAAGATATCTTATTAAAACTCTTTCAAGAAGAAAAAAAACTGATTTGAAAGGAGATAAGTGGAAAAATTTACAATAGTTTCAAGTTATCAAATCCACTGTATATATAGGATGTGGAGAAATAGATTATTTTAAATAATACAATAAACATTAGTGGGGCAATGTTTGTGAACCCCATACAAAGTAGTTATTAATTCGAATCCAGCCTACGGTGGCGTGGATAACACAAGACCTTTTTTAATGCGCGTACAGATGGCCGAGAGCAAAAATTGGCCGGTCTCCACTAACCACTATTGTGCTGGTTTTGATATTCCACTGACCAATGAGTACGGACATTTGTTACAACGATGGAGGTGCTGCCACATGTTTGAAATCCCTGGAACCAGACATATCATGAAAGTTTTTTGTTTTTTTTCAGCGCTCTGTCCGAAAACAGAGACACGGCAGGAAGGTATAATGTAACTTGCCATCTAAAAGGCGACAAAATCACAACCACATAGAAATTAAACAGATTTTCACAATGAATTTGGATGAAATATCAATTCAAGCGATTCCTAATTTGTATAGACATTCGTAAATTGAAATAAATTAACGTTATTTCACGAATAAAAAAAAAACTATATATGAAAAATAGGATGAAAGATCAGTTTGATTTAAACTTCAACAAGGTGTTCTGTATGTTTGTCTCTCACTTCTGGCAAACCTAAATACGGCACATTCCAGCCTCGTGTATCTTTAAGAACATGCACGGCTCTCCCCAACTTCATGTTGTTTGTACATCAAATAATGATTGATCCTCTACTACCCCTCTTTACACCTTAATCAGAAATAAGCATATGTAGAAAGAAAAATGAAGCAACTCAATATATAAATATATTGAGTTGCTTCATTTTTCTTTCTACATATGCTTATCTCGATACGCCCTGTAAGTATTCCATTTTCTAAGCCTTCCATCCTTATAATTTCTCCCATAAATTTCAACCGTTTCCTTCTGATTTCAAGAATGCGACCTTCTAGTCTCCTTTTAGTTAGATATTCTATGTTGCTTATTTCTTCTCATGGTATTCTCAACAAAATTTGTAAAACCACATCTCTGTCGCTTTGTGTATGTTCTCCAACTCTAAGGACGTTTTCCGGCATTAACTTCCATTCAAGAGAAAATACATAACACAGCATTTCAATACTGTTTTCTTTCTTCTTAATAAATTTTGAATTTCTTACACGAAGCATTGCGCATAAGAATTAGACCGGAAATAAGACAAAAACAGGATTAGTGTTCATCAAAAACACTTGAACAAGGAATGCGATATTTATGCTCAGAATGATATAAAAATCAATACAAATGCAGAAAGATGTGCACCTGTTTTTTTTTATAGATTATACAAAAGGGTTTGATAAAGTAGGTCACAAAGAACTGCTCGTTAACCTTAACATATTTTGGAAGGTTATCAGAATAACCCAGAATCTATAATAACAGTAAACCACATACATACAGATAAAAAATGAATCCACTAAATATACAAATATATTCTAAGTTGCCTACGGTGATTTTCAAAGCTTACCTTACAAATGGCAACGAGACTAATGTATAGGGAACTCAGTAAGGATCGAACTCATTACTCAGTTGTAATTGTTTTAGCGATACAACCTTGCTAACCATTACACTACGCTGAGATGCCCTAACGATTTTCTAAGCGTAGCTTAGATGTGGTACAATACCGAATATGTGGGACACCTAATGAGAATCGAAATCATTACACAGTTGTAATGAATTTAGCGAGACAAGCTTGATAACAATTAGACCACGCCTAGGTGTCCATATTCTAAGATACAGGTGGATTGCCTTGATGTTTATCTCCGGGAAAATGTTCTAATTGCAAGGGAAATATATCTTGAGTTTCCAGATGATTTTTTCATGTGATTTCGACTTTCGTTATTGCACTCTGTCAGCTATCTCTCTTTTTTCCTTTACCGCTTTCGTCCTCAGATTTTACTAATGCTCTTTACGTCAAGTAGTTGAAACATTCTAATTTTGAATATTTCCGTTGGTCAGTTTCTTAGACAAATAGTGGATTTTTTTCTTTACCTCCTCACTTCGAATTTCCTTCTTTATCGCCTCTCCTAGAATTTCCTTCATTACTCTCTCTTCTATAATTTCCTCCATTACCTTCTCTCCTATCTCGTGTCAAGGATCGGAACTCAGTTCTCTTGGCAATACTGATCCCGCATTAGTATCTGTTGATATTGCTTTTCAGTGGCCTATTCACAAGACTTCTTTTTTTTTTACTAGTCCATTGATCTGGATTAATTTCCAAACTTTCTTCGAAATGCCTTTTGCATTGATATTCTTAAACTTCTGATTGAAAATTGTGCCACACAGTTATCGTCAGTTATCGATATATATATATATATATATATATATATATATATATATATATATATATATATTTGGAATACCAGGTGAAACGCCGGCACTAAATTAATGAAAAATAAAATTTACAAGAGGCAGCGAAAAGACCGAATTCCTTAAGAACTACAAAGGACAGGCAATTGTAGAAAGCCGTGATTGCTCACGTCCTAAATGGACACGGTACAGAGAAGAAGGTGTCCCCAGCTAAGATTAAGGTGCTATATATGCCAAAGATTTAGGTGCCATAACAAATGTTGTGCATTTGCCCAGCAGGTGTTATGGCACCTAAACTAGTCTATTAAATTGCAACTGTGTGAAGAGACACCACTTTCTTAAATGCCGATAATCTACTGATTACTTCCTAAGCCAAGCTTAGCCCAGTGGGTATAAATCGCAAGAGAAAATAGAGTAATATATTTCTGCTTGAAATGCCAGGTGTGTCATTGATAAGGATTTGGATAAAGATCAATAAGAATATTTCTCTTTGATGGTTGATATTGTCTTAAAATAATTCTAGTGCATTTTATTTCAGACAGCATAGAAAAATTGAGAAAAGTTTATTCAGTATACGTCAATGGGAGTAGACATAATTTAGATAAAAATTGGAAAGGATGACTTTTCAGGAAAAAAAAATCTATAGTTTGCTCCGTTTCTCCATCAGGGCATCG